TAAATGGCTACATCCCCGCAAGATCAAACACCGCAAATGTTAGTAAAGGACGTGTTGAAAACGGTTGAAAACTGCTACACAACCGGAGGTGGTAGGGCGGGACTTCAGCAGGTGGCTCATTCCACCCACTGAGAGGCTGATCTATGCAGCAAACTTCCGCCCACTCAGACTAGTCTCCATAGACCCCCATGTTAAAATGCCCAACTTTAAGGCAGAAATAAACATGTTTACAGACTGGTACAGAAAATGCTTTTGACATGTAGTTGACATCTTGCGTTGTTGAGCCAGTGTCTGTACAGTAGTGATCTCCATGGTATTCCCACCCATACACCTGTCCAAACAATTGTAAGTAGCACCACTGATGGCGAGTGCACCGATTTGCATGCACAGCTTTCAATTATGACATCACACTGCGTTTTTAGAGCATCAAATAACTAATTGACTTTTTCTATTTTTTTCTTTTTTTTTTTTTTTTTTAGAAAAATGAACACTTGAACATACATCAGTGTGATGACAAATACCCAAAATGGCAGGAACCATCCCTGTGAAAATTTATTTGATGTGTACTTTTAGTGTGGCCCATGTCCCCTCCACTAACATGGAGAGGGCAGGGTTTATGAACTACACTGCTGCCAGCCACCAGGGGGCGATCAAAATGTTTTAGCTTCACGTTCCGGGAACTGTCATGTCGTCCGTCTTTATTATACAGTCTTTGGTTTTAGGCCTGTTTTTTGTTGGTAATAATTAGCATTAGCATTATCATAGTAAGCCATGGACTATAAATGTACCCTGCTAACCAAGCAAGCAGCTAGCATTGAGGCTAGCTCCACCCTCTGGTCCAAACATGGTCACGTCTAGCTCCAATAATCCAAGATCACAATGGCCAGAATGACAAACTTGAGGCTTCAAAACAAGAGTCCACAAACCAATGAGTGATGTCACAGTGGCTGAATCCATTATTTTACAGTCTATGTGTACTTCTTATAATGAGTAAAAACAGATGGTTGCAGCTTTAACTTCCAGGCAGCATTAATTACATTTTTGAACTCATCCTTTACCATCTGTCTGAAATCATCATCGTCACTCAAGTTAAAAATTAATTATAGGAGACAGTAAGAAAAAAGCCCAGAGCGTGTCATGAGACCTAAACGCAACTCACTGTGGTGCCTCAGAAAACTGCAAAAGCTATTTGTCAACCCTGACACACACGCAGCTCCTGCTATATTTGCCCCGAAGTTCACCTTCCTCTTTTCTCTCTGTCTCCCTCACCGACTGTCCGTCTCCTTGTCCGGCTTTGTTTTTTGTCAAGTCACAGTGACTCAGTAGAAATTACTGGTCACATGACAGGATGGCACCCAAAATGGCTTGGACAGGGATCGATGACAACAGTGAGTGGGTCAAATACCAATACAGCTGCTTTAGTGTCACTTAAACATTTATGTTTAAACATTTTCCTGTTGAAAATCTCATTTATCTCCAAAGTGCACTGAAGTTACAGAATAGCGCTTTATTTTGGTGACAAACCCTTCATTCAAAACTCTCAAATCCTCTTTAATCTTATGAAAGATGAATATTCTTTTCATTATTGACGTAATTCAGCTCAATCTCACTTTGATGAGGCTTCTAGCATTTTAATATCGTTGCTCCAAACATAATACAGATTTTATTTTGTTTCAAGAAGAGCAGAAACAAGGGACAAATCTAGGGATACTGGCTGAGAATGTTTCATAAGGCATGTAATTAAGCTCCAGACAAACTTCTGTGTTAGCAGCCTGTTGCAGCACCCACCACATTTGCTGAACAGATGCTCTGTTACTATGGAAACCGGTGTCATAATGACAGAATGTAATCACACAGCCCGGACACACAAATCCCACCTGGTACCTTGTGTGTGGCCTTTAAGCTTTGACACTCGACAAATAGGATTTCCTCTGCTATCTGCACATGAAGAAATTGGAAAACAAACCTACGAGCGTTTCAAGTACAACTACAGTATGCATGAATCAGACGACCGCCATGACTCATCTAATTGTCCTTCCAGAACTCCACACTCATATTTTATCCTTACACAACAACCTCATCTTTCTTCTTGCCTTAATTAAGCTCTCTCTCCCTCCATCCAGCCAAGAGTGTCCATATCCCTACATCACCCCCCCCACCTCCTTCCTTGGTCTCCATGACAACAGCCTGGAGGTGACAGCTTTATTGACACAGGCTGAAAGTAACAGCGGCACGGCACTCAATGCACACACGCACACATGTGACATGGCCTCACAAACTAAAGTAATGCTCCTGTGAGTGTACTGCAAAGCTGGTGCATGTGGGTGTGGACACACACACACACACACTGACTACATCTGACCTGCATCCAGTTCTGGCACCGTTTCCTATAAAAGAGACAATCAACTTCACTTTTGAGTGATGCCAGGAGGGAGGGTAAATGTATCGAGCTGTTTTGGGGGATGAATCCAATAACATTTCAGGGTGGATTTTAGCGTGAGGGTCCCTCAGTGCGTGAGGGTCGTGTATTGATGAGCAGGTCAATATTTGGCACGAGCGATAACAGCAGGCTGCTGAGGAGTCAGGACACAACGGGACACCCATGAAGGGACACAGGAATGTATTATAGACATACACACACAATGACACACATTTGTGCTACCAAACTTACTACTAGACAACATTCACAGGAGTCTGAGGTCATGTTCGTGAGCCTGCCTCCCACTGATACTGGCTGTAAGAACAGTTTTTACTAGTGATGGCCAAATGAAGCCTCATGAAGCATTTTCTATATTTTATGATCCCACTAGATGGCGCTCTTGGTTTAAAAAGGGAGGCTCAAAGAATGGCAATTCAATGTGTTTTCAATCTTTTGTTGAAAAAAAAAGCACCATCTAGTGGGCTTATAAAATAAAGAAAATGCTTCATGAGGCTTCATTTGGCCATCACTAGTTTTTACCACAAACTCAGCATCAGTCTTTTTCTCAGAATTTCCGGAATTCTATTATACTGTTATAGTAAACAGGCTGGTTGAAAAACTGTAAATATGAGAGTTAAGAAATCGCATACTGATGAACTTTGGTCTCTTATTTACAGCTAATGTTACTAACTATCTGACATGCATAGACTAATTCCGGTAGAGTTAACAGTTTGAGTTCACGTCATGTGTCTGTTTATACATTAATGTCTTAAGCCATTCATTGCTCTTCAGATAGGCTGGTTGTTCTTTTCCTTAAAAAGGCAAATATACAGCTTTAATTTGAAGGAATACATTGATTCTAAAGCATTAAACATTTAATGCAGGCTTTCTCCAGTTTAAGGGAAACTCGTGGGTACCTATACAACACATTTTAATGCGGATATCTTGAGGTGAGCATTCAAGGGACCCCTCTACAAATGGCCATACCAGTTGCTCCCTTGCCAAAATGTAGCTTAAATTCAAAGCATTATTTAGCCCCTTTCATGACAAGCTATGCCAATATAGCTGGTATCAATGGATGCCATGGGTTGTCTAGTTTGAGTTGATACCCAAGCCTTTGTTACCTTAAAAAATGAGTGCACCACAGCCTCTTAAATACAGTAATGTTGCCCCCGCCCCCCCCCCCCCCCCCCCCAGTTAGGGGCGTCACCACCAACAACTGCATTTTAGTTCTAATTCTGCGAGACCGCACAAGCCCCTGCCCCTCCGTCTTTCAATTCCCTTGTCATAGCCACCACAGTTAATGCACACCAATCGAGCGCCCTTCAGAGCAACATTCACCTCACCCTGCCCTGCCTTAACTGGTGACAACCAAACGATAGTGTTTGCTACTCTTGTGAAATGAAACCAAATGTATGGGCATTAAAATGAACCCGTCCTGGACATGTCTGCGTACGACCCTGCAGTCAAACTATACTAACATGTTGCTAAACTTACAAATGATTGTTTTTCCCTGTATGACCAAAGATGTTACACGCAGCACTTTGTTTTCAGCAAACTGTCAGAAATGTTCGTCCTGATTCTGATCAATTAATTAGTCAGTCAAATCGCAATCGTACCCACTTTGGTCCATCTACATCTACTGACTCATCTACCTCTTCATACAGTATAACCTTTTTTTTTTTTTTTTTGAGGGAATCATATTGAGACCAATTTTTTGTCCAGAGTCCAGAGTGTAGCAGAGAGAGAGAAAAACACACACAGTTGGACAGAAAGTGATAAAAAATACATAAAAACAATCATAACCACACAAACAAAGGGATGTATACAAAGACCACAAGATACGACAAAACACATGACGCATCAGAGATAATCACTGACATCACTTAATGATTTAAAGGGTGTGAACATGTTGCATTTGTCCGTATAGCTGACATGTGCACCTGTAGAGTGTGTGAGCATAGAGACAAGTGTGTTTCCTCAGTAGTGAAGAGGCGTCTTGTAGCTAGAAGCTTGGAGCAAAAATAGAAACTGCACGCTAAGAATTTCCAAAGATGCATTTATCATCAAATCCAGTGTTCACGATGATATTTTGCAGCGCAGAAATGTTGTCTGCTATGAACTGGATTGCAGCTGTATAGTAAAAGTTTTGGTCCTCATACTGTACATACAGAGGAGAAACAAACAAACGCTACACATTTACAACCTCTCTGTTCCTCACAGTCACAGTCAGCCAGTGCTACTGAACACACACCTACACACAATACCAAAAACCAAGCATGCACGCTTAAAACCATCACAGCTCTTACAGCACATAGTGTCTCTGTTGGCACACATCTGCAGTGTTCCTGACTCACAGAGTTATTATGGCATACATACAGGCATACACCGCCCACACAGCACTCGATATAGAAACATGCATTATTCACAAATCACAGCTCCAGTGAACTCTTGTTGCAAGAATCCCTCAACTGTTTTAATGACTTCATGTATATAAAAACTGGAGCAGTAGTCCACCCCTAAACTAATCACCTCCTGATTGCTTGCCTCAACATTAAGGGGATAAAAAAAAATCACTTGCCTGCTCCTCCATCTTCTGGAAACAATCTGGATGATCACCGGACTAAATTTCACTCAAAATGAAGGCTGCAGAGAGGAGATCTTCAGGTGGTGGTTGAAAGCTTTGCAGGACCCGCCCGCCGGCGCTCTCAGCTGCAAGAAAAGAAACAAACCTCGTTAGGCGCTGTCCGTGGTACCTACTGGTTTGCCAGGCAGGACACGACCGCTTCCCTCGTCCTTCCCATCAGGACTCAACCACAACTGGAAATATCATGCATTTCACAGTGCATATTACAGCTATAAAGAGCAGGAGGTAAATGAGGATGATTTTTGGTCCGTTTACCTCTCTCTGTGTCTGTGATGTCGGTCAAACTGGAGCAAGCATTGGATTTTTCCACGCCTAAAGAAAGACCTCAAATCCAAAAGCAGCACAACCGGGACAATAAAGTGACACTCACCTGTCGTGACTACAGGACGGACAATGATACACTGCTGCAGCGGTGCCTCCCTCCTTTTTCTCTCTGAATCCGTCACGTCACATACGGCGGCTGCGAGGTGAACCGCACGTACCCGCACGCAGTTGTTTTTATTATTTCTTTTCCCCCCAGCCTACGCCATCAACCTATGAAAAACTGGAATGCTGGGATGCCGTGACGTGACCCCGCCCCTCCGCTTCTACGTGCAGACATCCGTGACTCTTTTGCATCATCACCGCATCCCGTAAGGAGAGGCGGCCTCCATGTCCTATTATGGCTGCAGACGTTATTCGGTTACTTGGTCAGCTTAGTTGACGAAAGCGTGGGCGCATGCGCGTAAGGAGGGGGGCTTATGAGGGTCGCGAGGGGATGGTTGATCCCCCAACACCCGCCCCCCGCCTCCCTCTCTTTTGCGCCACGGTTTCCTCCTCGCTTTCCCATGATGCCTCTCGCGGCGACCTTGACAGGAGCTGCAGGGTGATGATGCTGATGCTGCGGATGCTGATGCAACTCGGTCCGTTACTGAGGGTGCTCTCACACCTGTGGTTGGGCTCATATGGTTTCACCTGAGAGTTAAACATGATGCAATGTTACATTTTAGTTTTTGTTTTAGTTCCTGTTCACTCTGATATTTTGCAAACGAACCAAGAGGAGTTTTCCTGACTGTCAGGTAACTCCTTGACTGGACTTGTGGGGGTTTGTCATCCTGCATCATTCTGCATCATCCTGCATCATCAGGACCTTTGTGAGGAAATCACATTCCCATAACTGCACCAGTACTGCATCCAGCACTTTAATGCTTCTTAAGTGTATATATTTATGGTCAAACAGCCCATAGACAAATAACTGAGTGTAAGCATCATTAGTGGGCTATTATTAGACTGCAAATCAGTCTCATGTGATTCTTGAGACAGTAAGGAAAGGCGTCTTGTACAGGAATGATTCAAGGTATAATACTGTGGGATCACTGACACACACTCATTTTAATGGACTTAATGAACAGACAAAGTACACAGAGTCGGATACAATGGTGGCAGTTTTACTTATTTTTAATCAGGGGAAATACCCACACTGACGTGCATATGTGTTGCCATGGTAACATGTATGCATTAGCATAAATAGATTATGGGATATATACTGTAGTTTGTGAACAGCCATCACATGAGGCAACTGTCCACATCAATGTGAAATAAAAGTGGATATATCTGGTGTCAGATAACACACACACACTGCAGTTCTCCCAGTCTTGTGATCTGCTTGTGACATGGAGACAATAACAAAAGTCAGCTGATGGGGCATGACAGAGGTTTGTGTAAAGGTGCTTATGCAATGAATTTCACATAGTTCACTTTTGCCAGAATGAGTTTGGAAAAACCTTAACTCAGAGACACTGTATATCAAAGAGTTTATTTTCTACTGTCAGTGATGAAGAGCTTCAGAGGAGCTGCTAAATAGACCTGATGGTGAGACTGTTTCTGAACAGGTGCTTTCAAGGTCAAGGATAAATGTTTAATTTCAGATTGAAGAGTCAACATGGACAGGAAGTTATTTAAGTGCTTTAGAGAAATGAAAAATTTGAGCACCACTAAATATTATTTCAATCAGGAGAGACAGAAGAATGAAGTTAATTAATATTTCATTCAGAATATGAGTGCACAGATTAATATATGATTTGTGCTGATTCAAATTTAACAGAAGTCTTTGGCGCTTGGACACCAAAGAGAGATATTTTGCAACTGGGGGACACCTGAGTGGCAGCAGGATAAATCCCCTCCATGGAGTCCAGACACTGGTGGTGGCCGATGACTCCAAGGCTGATGACTGATGACTGCTGACTGAGGCAGATGAGGCTGATGAATCCATGCTGATGCAGAGGTGGAAGACATGCGCGACTGTGGCAAGAAAGAACTACAGCAGAGAAAGAACCATATTTAAAATGAGGAGAGGTAAGATGATAGGCTGACAGAGAAGGTGTGTCGCTGTGCCATTGGTTGATTGTGAATCCATTGATGACTCAACTGACCTACCCAGACAATGACACTTAAGAGACAGTGTGTGAGCATACGTGCAAGGAGTAATGGCAGGGTGAGAAAGAACTTAGAGCCTGAGCATGAAAAGTATTGTCTTCCTGACTGAACTTTCGCCAGAGTTTTATTGGTGGTGAATTTGTTTTTTCAGCTTCTTTCCTGATTTACTGTTTTTTTGTTTTTTTTTAGAGAAGTTTTATTCATGTTTCTGTTGATTGTTTAAAGTATGTGGATGCAATGCAAGGCAAATTTCCCTGAGAACAGACAATAAAGTATTATCTTTCTGCAGAGGTATGGACTTGACTCACATGACTTGGACTTTAACACCAATGACTCTTGATTTCACTTGGATTTGAGCCTTTTGATTTGAAAATTCTTCATAATTTCCCCCAAGACCCCAAGTTTATTTTAAAAGTGTGCCATTAATCAATTAATTTGCCTTCATTTCCTGAATCATGTAACTGAATCATTAAAACTGTTCCTTCCCTGCAAGTCGGCAGTTGATTCTCCAGGTCCTCATGGCTTGAACCAATCTGCCAGCATGCAGTCAGGTTTGCCGATGAGAACCCTGAAGAACATAACGTTACTAACGTTACCAAAGGTCATTTTGCTTGTGTAAAAAAAACAAACAAACAAAAAAAAAAAACTATGTGGTGGCCATCAGAAAATGAATTGCAATATGAAAAACGTGTGGATCCAAAATTACAGAGAGACACAACAACTTGAGACTTTCGACTTGCAAACAATGACCTGGGCCCACCTCTGATTTATGCACGTCTGGTTAGATGCTTGGCTACATTTACTTGTCTCAGTTTATTTATATATTGTCTCATTTATACTCTGTGCATTGACAATTATGTTAAATCTAGTCTCATGGTTTTACCTTGTTTTGACCTGCAGGTGGTATTTTAAAAACTTTCTTTAATCCAAACACTATTACTTACTTTTTACTTTATTTACATAATATTGACACTCTGTTTCTTCATATTGTAATTTTACTGGTGTTACTTCTTTCTACTCTGTATGTATGATATCCATTTCATAATCCTTCCCTATGCAGATGGAGGGTCTAAGAGTCAAGGGTTTTGTATGTTTGTATGTTGTACACATTGTGAAGCCCTTATGCTCATATGTTTGCTATCCCCCATCTCATATTTTGGTATATAAACAGCAAAATGTATCAAACCCCTTCCTCAGTTTCTTCACTTTCTCCTTAAATATAAAAAAAAAATTGTAGAGACTCATACAGGAATAATCCCTCTCAGTCATCACGTATGACCCCTTTAAGTGTGTAAAAATGATTTTTTTTTAAAATTCTACAGAAACTCTGCCCTCTGCCTGTATTTACTTATTTTCTGTGTCGCGGAAGTTTTTGAGTGTGTTATCCCACAGTACTCAGGTGAGGTCAGGGCTTTAAAAAAAGGTAGCGACCAGATGCCAGGCTGTAAGCAGCAGCGTTGAAGAGACATGGTGCCAAAAAAGGCAAACAAGACTCAATCTGGGGTTGGCTTTCACTTTCTCTGTCCCTGTTGTGTGTTTACAAACTGTAACTGACAATCCTGCATAGCATTCCTTTAAGTAATAAGCCAAAAAGGTGGTGGAGGGTGTAGGGGGTGCTTACTTATACCTCTCCTACTTATCTATTTCAAAATAACTGTGTTTACTCCACCCTACCTCATACATCTCCATCAGGTTGTTTTGAGTATTGTTAGGCTGTGTTAACAGACATAGTCTTGACTACTTGCTGATTAAAGACATTAGTATTTCAGATCTGACAACGTAACCATGTAGACTCTCTGCTGTCACTTTTCAAAAGAAAAGCCCCTGAAGTTCTTCCTAGTATTTCTAACATATCAAATATTGTTCTAATTACCTCCACCAAAGAGGTTTCATATGGTTTGCAGGATTAATGTAAAACTACCCACCTGATCTTCATGAAACTTGGTGGAAAGCTGTAGGGCCATAAAAGAACCAATTCAATTTTGGAGCAGATCTGAATCATTTTTCCCCACTTTCGTCAACATTGCCAGATAGGGCATTTGGCTGTGGCGGAGGTCTGCACTCTCCGACTGCCCTTCTAGTTTTCTTATCGTCTGATCATGTCTATGTTTAATGTCGGGTAATGTTGGGTAATGTTGGGTAATTTGAGCAGGGACTCAAAATCAAATATAAAGCAGTGGCAAGGTTCACAGTAACATTAAATAATTTATTTAGTTGCTTCTGTACAGAGAGAGTAGATGCTTCACATCAAGATACTAAGATGATGATAGAGGAATGTGTCAGTTCAGATCTTTCCAGCAAAAGTTCCCGACTCCAGCTGGTCATCCCATTTCTGAACCTGCAGGACAGAGCAAGATGAAGTTCAAACAGGACCAAGATATCATGCTTACAGTCAAAAAGAAATGAATATCTGGCATTATGCAACTACACCTCTACAGTTTTAATGTGAAGATGATGTGCAGATGATAAAATAAAAAAGGAAATATCGGTGTTATAGTCGACGACAGCAGATGTTTAACTAATACTCTCAGCCCTATAAGACCACGTGTATGTTAATTACTCAACCAGTGTTCTGTTGAATTCATGAGGAAAACATTTCTCACATGGCTTCACTGTGAACGAAGACTCCAAAAACTGAGAAAATGTTTGATGAACTGAAGTCATAGGCAGTGATGGCCAAATGAAGCCTCATGAAGCATTTTCTAGATTTTCTATTTTCTAGATGGCACTCTTGGTTTAAAGAGAGAAACTTAAAGAATGTCAATTCAGTGTGCTTTCAACTTTTTGTTGAAGAAACAGCGCCATCTAGTGGGCTCATAAGATGAAGAAAATGCTTCACGAGGCTTCATTTGGCCATCATTAGTCATAGGTGAACACCATTAACGACTTGAAACTGTATCAAAACATCAGTTTACAAACTCTAACACAGCTCATGCAGTTTCATCCAAGTCTTATTTATCCAGCTGTTCGCTCAGCACTTCCCAGACAGACAGCCTCTTCAATGGGAAATTTAAATGATTAAAGACCATTAAATAATTAATTTAAATAATAATCTTACTTTGGTGAACACAGAGGTTTACGGCCGCAGCTCTCATGGGGTCTTGTGGGGGGTACTGCAGTATTACAGGGTACAAGCATCATTTGGTGAGGTGTCTGCAGTGATGCGGGCACTGCGCCTGACTGTTGTGGTGAAGAGGGAGCTGAGCCGAAAG